CCCCGCCACCACCTCTGTCTTGGGATCAACGACAGATGAGGTATCTGTATGGGGCTTATCCACCATCCTTGCCATGACTGACTCCGGCGAGCTATTCCAACTGGGATCGATGTTCATCCCACTCTGCTCATAGATCGAGATTGACCTTCAGCATCTCTCTGTCGTCCTCCTGCAGATGATCCTTCCCAGTATAACTTGGATCACAGTCGTCCTCCCAAACCTCAGGTCGTTCAAACCCCAGTCGTTTCCACCCCTGTCATTCCACCAAGACCTTTAACTGGTCAACAGGACGCTCCTGTCCAAATGCCACACCAGGAGTCCTCTGATTCAATGGAAGACAATTCCGATACCGAAGCATCTGAGGCTCACACCTCCCCTGATCATAAGTCTCCTTATTAGGCTGTCACTGATGATTTGCCCATCTCCCCATCCGACAATTTAACGTCATACACAGATCTTGTAAAAAGAATGGCCCATTCCCTAGGCCTCTCTGTCATTCAGCAACACCCGCGCAGGTGGCGGATGCGGTTTTTGACATCGTCCAACTTGATACATCTTCCACTCTGGCATTACCCATGTCCACTGTCCTTTTGCAAGCTACAAAGGCACCATGGGAGAAACCTTTGTCAGCCCCGGTGTCGACAAGACGACTGGACCATATGTACAGAGTCCAACAGACAGGGGCTGAATTCCTATTCTCCCATCCTCAACCAAATTCTATGGTTGTAACATCCTCCTCAAAATCTAAACGAACACACTCTGCGCCTTCAGACAGAGAAAGTAAAAAATTAGACGCCTTTGGCAGACGCTTCTATTCCACCTAGATGCATCTTCCAGGACTATGGCCTCTGCTATAGCACTGTGGAGGCATTCCTGGCTCCACAATACGACTCTCCCTTTGGATACCAGGTCTTATGTTGAAGATGTTCCGTTTGACGACCTTGGTCTCTTCAACACGACTACTGATTCCACACTCCAGGAATTAGACAAGATCATAAAGGCTTCTCGAGCTCTAGGAGTGTCACCCGCTGCGAGACAACAATACCATCCCCGTACATGGTCAAGGTCTTGGCAGAGGCATGCGCCAAGTCGGCAGTCTCCAGACAGACAATGGAGACCGCGTACATCTTTGGGAGGTCAAAACCCTCCATACCAAAAACCGAGGTCTCGATCCGGGCAACAATCTTCCCGTACCAAACAGGTCAAACCCTCCAAGCAGAGTTTTTGACTTCCCTGTCACCGAGTCAGTTCAAACCCGTCTATCACCCTTCCTTCATACTTGGCATCATATCACCTCGGATGAATGGGTGCTGTCCATCTTGACCCGAGGCTACCGTATCTAATTCCACCAGAGCCCCATTACTCCTGTCGTTGTCTCCACACCCCCTTCCCCACCTCTCCTGGAAGAGGTGTCCATCCTTCTGCAGAAGGGAGCCATCGAACAGGTACCATCACACCTCCACGGGTCGGGATTTTATTCCTGATACTTCACAGTCCCGAAGAGAGATGGAAGCATTCGACCCATTTTAGATCTAAGGGCACTGAACCTACCATCGCTTCCGCATGGTGTCCTTACAGCAGATTATGCCACTCCTACGGAAACACGTCTGGATGGCCACCCTCGACCTCCAAGACGCGTATTTCCACCTCACCATCCACCCCTCCCACCGCCAATACCTATGCTTCGTGATTGGTCACCAGTATGCAGCCCTGCCATTCAGCCTGTCCAGCGCCCCAAGAGTCTTCACGAAGACTATGATTGTGGTTGCGGCTTTCCTTCATCTCCGGGGTATCTCCATTTACCCCTATATCGACGATTGGCTTTTGGTAGTGCCTTCCCAAAACACCCTGGTCCCAAACATCACTGAGACACTGACACTACTAAAGGATCTGGGCCTACAAGTCAATCGAAAAAAGTCTCAATTCAGTCCAAAGAATAAAGTACATCAGTGCTATACTAGACTCCATGACGTGCATGGCGTCGTCCGTACCCACCTTTCTGTCACTGCCTTCCAAATCCAAAGGCTGCTTGGCCTTATGGCTGCAACTACGTCGGTTCTCCTCTTTGCCAAACTGAAAATGCATCGTTTACAACTGTGGTTCATCCAGAATTACAACCCAGCAAACAACGCTCACACTGTCGTCCTATCCCCCCCTCCCAACATACGAGACTCATTACTTTGGTGGACTGTCCCTTCCAATATCTTCCAGGGAGCACCCTTCCACCCTCCGTCACCCCAAATCACCCTGACCACGGATGCTTCCCTGTCGGGATGGGGTGCACACATGATGGGTCTGTGCATCGGGGGCAAGTGGAACAGCCACGAGCAAGGTCGACATATAAACTTCCTGAAACTGCTCGCAATTCAGTTTGCAGTCACAAGTTTCCTACCAATAATTCAATTATGGGACTTTTGCATCGCTCACAACATCTTTTTGGTAGCCACACATATCCCAGGTCACCTGAATGTGTAGGCAGATCATTTAAGTCGAGCAAGAACTGTCTGCAAGGCTCAGTCTCCACGAGTGGGAGATGAACCCGTCCTATCTTTTCCCGCTCTTCTGCAGGTGGGGATCTCCCCAAGTCGATGTTTTCGCCACCAGAGCCAACAAAAAATGTCCCCAGTTCTGCAGTCGAGGTGGCAGGGACTCACAATCGCTCGGAGACGGTCTCATTCTTCCCTGGTCCTCAGGCCTTCTGTACCTTTCCCCTCCTTTACCCCTACTTCTGAGAGTCCTTTATTCCTACTTGGTACACAAGATCATCCGAGATGGAGCAGACTGCTTGTTGATAACACCGTGGTGGCCGAGACAACCATGGTTCTCCACAGTCCTCGAGTTGTCAAGGGGAATGTACCACCAATTCCCTCCGGTACAGGACCTCCTCTTCTTGTCAGACTCCCCTCTCCTACATCACGATGTACCACGCTTGAAATTGATGGTGTGGAGAATATCGTCAAAGGTTTTTCGACCCGCGTAGCCAATGTTCTACTGAACGCCAGGAAACCTGCTACGCTAAGGTCCTACCATTAAAAAGCCTCCTCTGCAGGCCTCGAGAAAGTTTTCCAATCCTCCTGTCCCTAGCTGACTCGGGACTTTCCTATTCATCGTTAAAATTTTATTTGGCCGCAATTTTGGCCTACCATGTTCACGTCGACGGATGCACCATGTTTCACATCCGCTTTCGAAACGTTTTTTAAAAGGTTTGTTACACCTCTACCCTCCTGTCAAGACTCCTGTCGCTCCCTGGGATCTTCCTCTAGTCCGTCAACTTACGAGGAAACCCTTTGAGCCACTCGCAACTTCCGATAGGA